GGATAAAATGTGTGTGAGGACGGGGGTAGGGGGTGGTATTATGTATAAAATGTATATAAATGTATTCCCATTACCATCATGACCGACTAAACAATTCCCCTTTTTCTTGTTTTGTTTTTCTATAATGCATAACAATTTTCACTATGTCAATACATTTTTACTTTACCAACAAATATGGGCGCCAAAATCGGGACACAGGATAAACATTAAAAAAAAATGTATTTGTGATAAAGCCTCCTTGTATGTTACTTATTACTCCTTACTTGTGGGCGGTTGGCGGGTGCCCTGGTGTGGTTTGCTTCTTCTTTCCTATCAAACATCTATCGTCCTTATCTCCCCTTCTTCTTTTTTATGTTTGTTACTCTCTTGTGACACCACTAATCTTCTGGCACTCATCTGACCTTATGCAGTTGCGAGCGCCGTAAAACCTCTACTAAAACTAAACTAACTCCTTATTTCCGGTAATTCTTTCTGTCTCAGCTTCTACCACGGAACAGGTCACCATCCTCAGGCGGAACTACTGCGGAGCAATGAGGTTCTAGTGGTGGGCTACGTCCATCTGTTCTGTTGTCTGTGGTTCCTGGTGCAGGCTTACTCCTCTTATGGATGGAGGGCTGTGTTGGGAGGTAAGTCTACTTTCTCTCTATCTGTTTCTCTGTCTCTCTTTCTCTCTCTCTTTTTTTTCTCCTTCTTTTTGTCTCTGTCTATCTGTCTCTCTCCCTTATGTCACTCTCTCTTTCTCTCCCTCTATGTCATTCTCTCTTTCTCTCTCTCTCTCTCTCTCTATCATTTTCCTTCCCCCCTCTCTCTCTTACTCTATATCTCTCTCCCTCCCTCTCTCTCTCTCTCTCTCTTTCTCCCTTTCTCTACTACCTGTACTTTGTGAGAAGACGTGGAGTGACATCACGCGACCTGATAGGGAAAGGTGGAGAGCGTTTGTTCGTGGCCTATATCCTGATCCAGGGTGAGAAAGGCAATGATGATTTCATGTACTTCACGTGGCATTTTTATTAAATTTTTTTCACAAACGAGAACTTAAAGTGTCTTTTGGCGGGTGCTCTGGTGTGGTTTGCTTCTTCTTTCCTATCAAATATCTATCAACCTTATCTCTCTTCCTTCTTTAAATTGTTTGTTACTCTCTTGTAACACCTCTAATCTTCTGGCGCTCATATAACCTTATGCAGTTGCGAGTGTCGTAAAACCTGTACTAGTGGGTGGTTGGCGGGTGCTCTGGTGTGGTTTGCTTCTTCTTTCCTATCAAACATCTATCGTCTTTATCTCCCCTCCT